ACTTTTGGCCACTAGTGCCAATGAAATGAAAGGATGTGTGAAAGATTATGAAATTATATTTAATTCCTTTATTTAATAAATGATTTGGGAGTATCGTTAGTCACTAAGGAATGGTAGGTTGAAACAACCTAACCCCGAAACTATGCATGCCGGTATAGGAGTAATTGAGGGGTAAATCCCATACTAATGTGATGAGACTATTCCCCTTAATTGGGATAAGATTGATGTGTTAAAATTATTTCCCTTAATTGGGATGAGAAGATTTCTAGCGGAATCGGCATTGTGGTTAGACGGCTTAGCCAATCGTGCCGAGATCGGACGTCATGCCGCACACATGGTGTTGTTGTGATTGGATGTCTTTGGGTGAGACGACTTAGCCAAACGGGCCAAGATCGGACTCCATGCTAAAAATACAGTGGTATATCGGTGCTAAAGATCTCCCTACTTAAACATATTGACATTCACTTGAAAAGTTATCTTTCTCTTAAACTGATGCTTTATTATTCTTTGAGGCTCTCATTAATGATATGTTTCTTCCTCCTTTTACTGTTACCCGATTCACTGAGAGGGTGTTTAGTCTTACATACTAGTACTATTCCATATGTACTAACGTCCCTTTTGTCAGGGGCGCTGCATCTTTAATAGATGCAGGTGGTTCTACAGCATGCGGCATCGATCAGTGATAGCGGTACACCCTTTACTCAGCGGACTTGGTGAGCCCCACTTTATATTGGGGTCTTGTATCTTTGTTCCTTTACGTTTAGTGTTTTGAGGTATATCTGGGGCCTTGTTTCCGGCACCATCATAGCACTCTTTTGTATCTCTTAGAGGCTCCGTAGACATAGTGTGGGTTGTATCGTGATTTTGAAAAGTTAAACTAGAAATGTTGTATATGTATCACATGTTCCCACTTCTAAACTATGAATATGTAATATATATATTTTTTAAAAATTGTAAATGAAGTAACTAATGGTAATGAAATTGGTGTTGTTCATGTGATCTTCTCATTGTCTAGTTAATGGAATGCATCTTCACTTATCCATGGGTAAGGTCGGGTAGAAGGCATCAAGTAGGCTTGCTTTACTGGGATATCTCGGTTGAGCGCCGGTCGTCCTCCCCAAGGTCGGGGCGTGACAGGGGCAACACGTGTTCGGGCTATTAAATGTGAGAGGATGTGTGTCCTTTCAAATGTCAGAGACTGTCTAGGAACTTTCCCTCCAAGCAAGGAATCATCACCTACTTCCCGGTAACACTAAGTTGCGTCACCAGAAAGTATGAGGACTAGGGTAAAATCGATCGATAACAGGTGATCAAATGGTAAGATGACGCGTGGAGCTTAAGATAGGCAAAGGACGAGTTGGGAAATAATTGGTACCGAATGCGACGTGTGTGACGAGTATCAAATGAATTCCGAAGGGAGCATAGTCAGCGGCAAATGTTCAAAGATTTGTCATCGGACAACATTCAATGAGAAAATATTTGCTAGCGTTAAATAAACAGCCATTATAGAGAATATTTGCATTCAACGCCTGCCGTTACATACTCATCAATGACCCTTTTTATTATCATTTAAAAAGGAGCTTGATCCTAAGATCTTGTTTCCCTAGATAGAACTATAAATAGTGGGGTCAACGGCTATTGTAAGGACATGAAACATTCCGTACGCAAAAGCTATACTTTACTATTTGCTCTCATACTTTACTATTCAAGCTCTCACTTTAACAGTTTCGTCGTTGCTTTAACTTTACTTTCACTTTTGCTCTCGGAAAGGCTGAGTTCGGAATCAGGTTTGTAATCTTCTTTAATTTCAATCAGTAAATCTTAATTTCAGTCTTACTTCTTTATCATTTCGGGGTTAAATCGATTCGCTTGTGTATAAACCACATTACAAATTCAACTGTAGTGTTTTACGGGTAAACAACTAAAACTAATTAATACACATGTCTCTCTCTTTTAATCTACTCAATACACGTGGTTATTATATCTACACCTATAACCCATATTTCTAAAATTGGACACTCTACTTTCCCAATTTCTACTGAATTACTCTAGGTCGTAACAACATGAGGCTTTTACCAAGAGCAAATTCATGTTTTTAAGTAGGTACAGAATATTAACGCACCCCACAACATTGGGAAGAAATTCAAAAATAGCCAGATTTACAAGTGGTCGTTCAAAAATAGCCCAGTTTCAAAAGTAATCGAAATTTAGCCACTTTTCATGTAAAGATAAATCTGAGCGAAAACACTGTTCAAAACTTAGAAAATACGCCAGTATATTATGCTGGAGTTCCAACATAAGTATACTTGAACTCCAGCATATTATACTGGAGTTCCAGGATAAGTATGCTGGAACTCTAGCATAAAATGATGGAGTTCCAGCATAAGTACACTAGAACTCCATCATAATATACTGGAGTTCAAGGAAAGTATACTGATCCAGTATAATATGTTGGAAGTTCATACACAAGTGCTCGAATCTCCAGTATATTATGCTGGAACTTTTCGTGTGTTGGAGTTCCAGCATAATATGCTGGAAGTTCATTCACAGGTGCACCGAACTCCAGTATATTATGCTGGATCGATCTTTGTTGCAGCAAAATAATGGCTATTTTTCATTGACTTGGTAAACGCTGGCTAATTTTGAATGACCAGTCTGAAAACTGGCTAGACCGTGCTATTTTTACACAACATTGTGACAATGGTTCAGAAGTATGGGCCATGTAGTATTTTTGATATCTTTTTGTTTTGGGAAAATCTCACTTTATACCCATTAATTCCAAACTATTTACCATTTAATGCCCAGGCTCAAATTATTTACTACTCCTACTCATGCTGCCCAAACTATTTACCCGGTTATTTCCCAATAATATAAGGGAGTAATAATTGGAATCACGTGCAGCTTGTCCCCCAGCACAACTGCTTCTCCAACTCTTACTCCACTCTGCTCTTTTTTCATTTGAAGCAAAAACGGCAATCCCAATTTCAGCAATCAAAATTCTAATTCAAATCTCTATCATCTCTGTAAAAAGCACACATATGTGACCAAAAACTACTAATCTTCTCTTATTGTCATATTCTGGGTTCATCATCAATGGCAATTCACACTTGTTTCTCACTAATACCTTCTTCTTTCTCTTCACCCAAACTGGTTTTTGGAGATTTATTGTACAAAAATTCAAATCCACCATTGAAGGACCTTGAAGCTTGAAACTCATAACTTGGTTTGTTTGAGTTTTTAATTGTTTTGATCCGATCCTAGATGAGTTTGTTTGGAAAGTTGATTGGAGGTTGTAGCTAAAGTTTTAGTCAATTTGATGAAGATTTTGTAGTAGATTTTAGAAGTTTGGGTTGAAATATAGTTGAACAAGAGAAGAAGACGAATTTGTATTGTATACTCAAATAGTATACAAATATACCATTTTGGTATACAATTCATTCCAACTATATACCTTATTAGTATAGCTATATACTATATTGGTATCATATGCTATTTGAATCATTTTTTGGTTGTATTAGATGCATTTAATTAGTACAATATTTGATTTTATTTTAATAATAGTAATATAGTACAATATCTTGAAATACTTTATTATATTAATATGTGGTACACTATTTTTTTATTTTTCTCTTTATGCATGTGTGTTATGTAATAGTAGTATAGTCATATAGTTGTCGAAAATTAACCAGTAAAACTGTATACCATGTTGGTATAGTTATATGCCATATTGGTATCATATGGTAGTTTGAACATTTTTTTGGTTGTTTTAGCTGCATTTTTAAGTGAATTCTATTCTGAAATTATTTATATGAACATGATTTGCAGTGCTGGGATTTTTTTTGTAAACTGATGGATATAGATTATGTGTATTATGTAATAGTTTTTATAATTACAGGCAATTGTTGGAACGACTCATACAACTATATACCCTTTAGTATATGGAATGAGCAAGTTGCTTTGCGAATATTTAGCTTGCAATGCGAGCATGTAATTTTCTCATACTTTTATTGTATCCTTTAATGTTTTGGTACAGTAGTATAGTCACAGATAGTTGTAGCAATATTCTAGAGCAATCATATACTCTGTTGGTATACATATATACCATATTGGTATCATATGGTACTAGAAGTCTTTTTTGCTACTTATATTTTATTGCATTTTCCAATATTTTATTATCATTTCTATTCTAACTAGTATATATGGAGATTTAGTGGCCGTAGATTATGTTTTCTTGCTCCATCACTGGTTAGTGTTACTGTTAATGGTAGAGTATGTATTGATATTTGTAGGGAAGGAGATCAAGGTTTGTACGGCAATCACATGGCATTAAAAAAGGAACAAGAAATAAAGAGAGAAAAATAAAAATAAAAAAAATAAAGAAGGAGTCGAATTTGAGTGTGAAATAAGTTATGGTAAAAATAACAATAATACGATTTTGGCAAAAATAAATGAATAAAAGAGAAAAAAGAAAAAAAAATAGGAAGAAAATGAGAAAGAAAAAAAGGAGAAAAGAAAGAAAAAAAGGAAAAAGGAAAAGAAGCATAGAAATAAAAAAGAATTGGAGAATAAAGAAAAAATCCCCACAAAAACTACTATGGGTAGGAATGTAATTAGTTTATGGGTAGAAAAATAAATGGGTAGACAAGGGTAAATAGTTTTGTTTTTGTGGGTAACTGTGTCAAAACCCCTATTTATTTTCTGGTACAACTCAAAAAAGAGCAGTGTAAGTAGGGTTTAATTTTCCTGGTCCGTAGAGTATTATATTTTGCCCTAAATTTCTAATCTATTAGGACTCATTTTCTTGAAGAAATGGAAAAAGACTTCTAAAAGAAATAAATGACATCTATAAATCGAGGATCTCTGTTTTTTCACAACAACAATAATAACATTCACAATGTAGTCATTAAAAAATCTTGTTTAGTGGGATATTTTTCTCTCAATAAATTTTTATTTTGTACTAGTTTTTATATGTAGGGGAGAAACTTGCATTTATACCAGAGTTCAAGTAACATATTGCTGCTGTTTCTTGAAGCCATAATTCCAAAAATCAGTATTTACAATGTGTTGCAAAATCCTAGGACAATGATGTATCTGAAAATACATTCCACTGCAAAAAAACATCATGTAGGACATTTCAGAGGTAGAATAAAACTATCTGCGAGATTTTGATCACATAACTGTCATCTATTTCAGTTGCTGCAACAGCTTCTCTAATGTCATGCTCGATATCCAGAGCCCATGATCAACCAAACGATCGTTGCTATGGCCAACCCCAAGAATCCACCGGCAACAACCTGCATCCGCAATGCAGCATAGTTTTCTGTAAAATTTCATTCTTTTGAGGTTTTAAAACAGTTCATCATATCACTCAAGTGAACTCAAAAACATAGGAGTACTCTAATATAACTTCACTCTTTAGAGACTTCAAAAAAAGTTATTCTGTGCAGAGTGGGCAACATTAGGTTTGGTGTACCCTGAGAATGAGAACTGTTAAAAGGTAGCTTGTTTTGATACAAAATGTTGAATTATTGACAATTATGTGTATCAAGAAAAGGTCAAAAACAAGTGTCTTTGGTACTATGAAAGTCTTTTTCCATGGAAAATGTTTTATGTTTTCTTGTAAAAATATTTTAGATTAATAATAACATCAGTAAATTGGGATGTGTTTTGATGAAATTTTTGAGTACTAATGATTAATAATAATGTCTAAGCAAGCAATTTGGAGTTAAAGTTAATACAGTTGTAAGTAAGCGAGGGAAGTTATTTTCCCCTTTTGATAGGAAAATCTTTTCCTACTAGTAATCAAACACCAGAAAGTGACTTTCTCATGTAAAATATTTTCCTCCGGTCATACCAAACGAACCATGATGTCTACTATGAGGAAGATACTGGAAAAAATAGAAACACACACGCGAGTACTACATAAACAGAAAGCTTCTGAACATGGCCAAATCAGGTGAAATTAATTTTAAGAAGCTTTTCTATGGAGCTAGGATTTAAACCCAAGTTATACAATTTTTTTATTATAAAATTGAAGAGAAACCTGAGGAGGAGTGTGACCAAGGAGTTCACGTAGCGGTATGCTATCTGCAAGAGGATGTCCAGCAGGAAGTTCACACATAATTTGGTTCAGAACCTGAAAAAGAACAACCCAAGGATTTCAAATGAATTTCAGAATATGTTTATGAAATCTGTTGCAACTACGAGTATGCTATTCTATACAAATGTTATAGATTCTCAGGAACAACTGCTTGCAAATAAATGCAGATATTCATATAGCTAAAGCAACATGAGCTTCAGACCTCCGCTTGACGTCCAGCCTGCAATCTTACACCTGTGGCATCATACATCACCTGCCACAATAAATTACCACATGAGCGATCTTTTGCTTAACACAGAACACAATATAATACATAATGAGAACAAAGCCTCATTTCCTGATCGTTGCGATGTATCAAACCAATGTATTATCAGAGAGGAATGTGCTACTCATCAAGACAAAGACCGAGAGCCGAGAGGGGTTCAAAGACCAAAGAGTTAGGTTCATGAAGTCATGGAAATAGATCACCGGAGGTAGAGGAAGTACTTTATATAGATGTGTTCATGCATTAAAATAAAAAGGAATGCAAACAGAAAGTCGAAATTCTAAGGGAAAGAGGTCTTCGGGATCTTCAGAAACAATGTTACATTCCCTGTGTAGATAAATAAACAAGGTTTAGTTTCTTCTTAACAAAATTATTGCTTTCAGGAACAAAATTGAATTGAACCATCTTCAGGTTACCCTGGTCATCAATAACCAATGATGAAATGTTTACTTTTGAAATATTATAGAAGGCTGGTTTTAAGGATATCCTGATCCAAGAAACAGGATATCAAATTTTGCCATATTAGGATTAAAAAATTGGATCAATATTATTCCAACCATATCTGGATTTAATGAATCGCCAAACAGGCAGCGAAGGTCTTAGAACATATATTGAGATGCAAAAGTAGAGATGTTCCACCGAAGTATCACTCATTTCTCAACTCTACATATAATAATGTTTATTGTACTCCCTCCTTTTCAATTTTGATGATGTAGTTTGACTTGGCACATCATTTAAGGGAAAAAAAGAAGACTTTTGAAATATGTAGTCCTAAAAGCTTAAGGGGCAAAAACTTTATGGGGCCATAACATTTCTGTGGTTATAAAAGCTTCTCATTAAGAGAAAGAGATGTTGACTATAACTGAACAAGCCAATCCCATCTTAAAAAAAGGCAGCCCGGTGTACTACGCTCCCCCTATGCGCGGGGTCCGGGGAAGGGCCAGACCATAAAGGTCTATTGTACGCAGCCTTACCCTGCATTTTTGCAAGAGGTTATTACCACGGCTCGAACCTGTGACCTCCTGGTCACATGACATCAACTTTACCAGTTACGTCAAGCCAATCCCATCTTACATGCCACTATTTTATACATGACAGAGTATGTGGATCACTTGCAACCTGAGAGTACAGACACGATACGTATAGAAAAAGTAGCAACGCCTTCCAACACTAATACATAACTTGAATTCTATGCATTGCGGCGTGTACAAAGTCACAGGAAAAGTGCATCTTTCTAAAATGCACCGAAATGTGTATGCATTTTACAATGTGACTTCATAATGAGGATGGGAAAGAATTCAGAGAGAGATGATACCACACAAGCTAAAACTAATGCAGTAGCGAAGATCGATCCTCCAAAGCCCTCTTGCAAACCAACAGCCGTGGCTAAAGCAGTCACGGTTGATGTATGAGATGATGGCATCCCACCAGATCCAACGAGTTGCTTCAGATCCCAATGTCTCTCCTTGTACCTGTAAGATACTCGAGATTAATAGATGTAATCCTTTTTCAGAATGTCTGCTTGTGACTACACCATGTAATTCTTTGTCATTATGTGCAGAGAACAGAAAGAATAAAATGTCATACACTATGAAACACCAATTATAAGTAATATGACGTCTCTATCATTCTTTCATTGACCCTCGCCCCCCTATACATACCCGCTCGGCATATTTCTCATCTAATCTGTAACAGAGAAGTGCACCTGAACTTTATAAGCCTGCTTTTACACCATACTACATGTCTGAGCAGGATGGAATTGGACTTGATCAAATAAGAACTGGATTTAAGCAGCACTGCCGCATGATGCCCTAGAGCATGCCAATCCTCATACTAATTAATATCTTAAAAACCGTTGCTTAATGTCCAGAAGCATGTCAATCATAAACTTAACATTTTGGATCAGAATTAATAATGCTTAAGTCTAAAACAACAAAACAAATGGTGTCAGATATATTGCCAAACGAATTGAGAGCCAAAAGATACTTTTCAATCCTAACCCCAAGCTTTCTTGAATAAACAACAACTAGTACGCCTCTATCTTAATCTTGTTGGTGTTGGCTATATAAAGCATCTGTATCCATTTTCATTCAAATATTCAATAACTTTTATAAGGCAACAAACTTTCTTGAATAAAAACAAAACAAATTCTTAGCAAGTTGATACATATACAACAATAAACGCCTCAATCCCAAACAAGTTGACGTCCGATTGCATGAATCTCTATTCAGGTCTCATTTTCCAATATGAATGGGATCAATCAATAGACAAATCAACTATGCCTTCAAGAATGTACATGCATTTCATCAGCTCGGTGCACAAAGCATCCCGCGTTCACGCAGAACCAGTGGAAGGGTCGCACCTCAAGGGTGTGATCTAGATAGCCTACCCTAGTTCAAGAATGTATATGCATTCTGCTATATTCAGGTTCATTTTCAATGATACATACATATATATATGGGATGAATAAGCAAAAGAAAATAAATAGAAAGTGTGGTGAGAGGGGGTACCAAGAAGTGAAGAGCTTGGCGGATTGTGCAAGAGCAAAAGCAAGAAGAGCAGAGACCAAGGGATAATTTGTTAAAAAGGAAGAATTAGAAGCATAATTAGAGACAATTGTGGTGGTAGTAGTAGATGATATGTTGATGGGGACTGAGTTTTGGATCAATGTCACTGCTGAATCCCTCATCTCATCCATTTCTTCTTTCCCCTCCCTATATTTCTCCAAATTATGTATATATATCTCTTTGTGTTCCCAAGATTCAATTTGTGTATATTCACAATGAAATATATATATATATTTTTTTTTTTTTTGGGAAAATTTGGAGGGAGAAAGAAAGTGAAGAAGCAATGACGATTGATCCCCTCAAGTGTGCTCCTTCTTGCTTCTTTGAGGGAATGAAACAATATGGAGAAGTGGGGGTGTCACCTTTATGAATGAATGGTCATCCGAGGTTGCTGTAATCAAGTTTAAGAGAACGTGCCACTTGTTTTCCTCATGCATGCAATGCGAATAGTCTCTCCTCTAAATAAACAAGTGATAGTAATTATTACTCCATTTGAAAAATCAAAAAATATTCGGTTTTTTATTTTATAGCTAAAGAAACAAATCGTGATTTTTCATTCTTTTAATACCTTCCTACAAAATATTCATAAAATTATTTTGATACACCAACATATAGGCAAAAAAGGTAACCCATTTATTTTGATAAAACCAACATGCCAACAACAACAATACATGAACCTTATGTTGCGAGACTGTATCTTATCTTATAGCCCGGTATGGCGGGTTGCCTTTAATATTAAGTAGATAGACTGGTAAGTATGAAAGAAATGAAACTTTTTTTTTTTTAATTCCTCCTTATCATGGCTTTTTTGTTTTACGTGTGATTCATGTTGTTTATGTTATTGTTTATTGATTTGTTGGGTAACTTTAACGTTGTATGTGGCTGACAACGATACAAAGATTCAATATTATTTTTCATGTTAATAAATTTGTATTATTTTTTATCATCGACTATTTTTTGTGTGAGAACAAATAACTAAATTTTTATTACTTAGTACTAGGGCTACTTATCGGACGGATTGGTCGGTTATTTACTCTTAACGGTTTGGCTTATCGGTTATCGGCTTTTAAATGTATTAATCCGCTAGCCACGCGATAAGATATCGGGTAGATTGGTATCGGTTTAGCTCTTATCGGGCGGTTTATCGGTCTAATTCAATCTATATTGCGTGCATTAATTGTTTGCTGACCTATGACTCAAAATAAAATTCCTATGCTCAGCAGTACTCTTACGTGGTTCTTTTATATTTCTTGACTAAGCACAGAACAACTATAATGCTCAATTTTTTGTCTTGTACATTTTGCAGGTGTCAAACTCGACTGTAGGGATCTACCATAAAGCGTAAGCCTCCTAATTTCATGCAATTTTGAAAACTACACATGCAATTTTTCTGAATACCTTTATATACGCAGGTTTAATGTACAAGTACTGGATGACGAGAAATATCTTGGACTAAAATAATTTGATTATTACCGTAGCGATGCCTTATTGTCGTATGTGGAATGCTAATTCTGCGACTGCACCGACTACTAATTTCAGTACCAACTCTTTTTCTACTATTTAATATATATAATAATATTATATATATTATATATATATATATATATATATATATATAATATATATAATATATAGTTATATATATGGTGTTGTGTGTGTGTGGTGTGTGTGTGTGTGTGTGTGTGTATATTATTAACAGGTTAACGGATTATCCGTTAAGAAAATTGAATAATCCGCCCCCAAACCGATAAGTCGCTAACAAAAAAAATTCAATCCGTTCCCCGTCCGTTAAACCGTTAAACTGCTCCGATACCAATAAGCCATTAAGCTTCGATTTCCATTCGGTTTTCAGTTTCGGTTCGGTTTTGAACACCCCTACTTAGTATCCGGTGAAGTATGATTCTGATTTCTTCTTTCCTTGCATATGTTGTTTAGTTTAGAGTCCATAGATTACTACTATAATAAGTTTTTGATTTAGTCTCCTTCCTTTTGGCCTATTTTGGAGATTTTTAAAGAGAAATGAGTCTGATTTCTGTGTCATTTTCTCCATTCATTTGTTCATGTGAAATAAGGAGAGGTCAACATTATCATTTGGTACAAAATATGTTTAGGAATGGAAATTAAGAATAAAGATAATAAAAAGTTATAAATTTTAAAAAAAATAGAAGATTTTGCTTGTTGAAGAAAAAGAAAAGACTACTTCTCTCGAATAGCTGATCTATTTGTGTATTTAAGAATAAATAATAAATAAATTTAAAAAAAAAAATCAAAAAACTTTTAAATCATAAAACGATTTTTTTTTCCGTCGAAGGTCTATTGGAAATAGCCTCTCTGTCGTTCCAGAGTAGGGGTAAGCCTGCGTACATTATACCCTCCCCAGACCCACTTATGGGATATCACTGAGTTTGTTATTGTTGTTGTTGTTGTAATTTATAAAATTTAGTAATGAGATTGTAAAACTTGAACAAAATTTAAGTTTTGATTATATGATTAAGATGATTGATGACTTCTAAGGTAAATTTTCTTCATTTAGTTGGCCAAATAGAATCATCATTTTTGTACTTACACTTTTGTCTTCACTTTTATCCTATGGATCAAACACAAATTTAAATATAATATTTATATTATTTAAAATTTTAGACTTAGAAAGACAAAAGATACATACGCAACGCGCGTGCCGAGAGACTGATTAATGTTAAAAGGGAAGAATTGATCCAAAAATTGGATGAGAGTGAAAATACTATTGATGTTTTCTTGATTTTCTATGTAAAAATATTTGTGTCATGCGCTTTTCTTTGTGATGGAAGAGGGGTTAGAATGATCTTATTGAGGCAAAACATTTCTCAAGTTTCTGCAGAGGGATTATTTTTCATGTTTTTTGGTGATATTGGGAAATCTATCTGTTTATATATAATAGGAGAGGCAAAGAAATATTATGACGACAAGTGGCATAATATTAAATTGACACATGTCAAATTTTTGGACAATTCTCCAACTTTGTCGGAGTTTCAAATTTATTTAAAAAAATGTAAAAAGGACACGTTTTTTCTCTCTCTAAAAAAGAAAATTGATTTAACATTAATATTTATAAATTGCATATTTAGGAAAAACACCTGTTACAGTATAAAAAATAATGAACGAGTGTTTTTTTCATTTTTTTTCTCCTACTTCTTTGTTAAAAATCTATAGTTGAATTCTATATTTTATTTAATTATAGTAAATTAAAAGATAAGAAACTCACATGATCCCACGACGTTGAAAACCTAAGCGCACAAGAAATATTATGATGACAAGTGGCATAATATTAAATTGACACATGTCAATTTTTTGGACAATTCTCCAACTTTGTTGGAGTTTCAAATTTATTTAAACAAATTTACGGAAAAGGGTCAAATATGCCCCTATACTATTGAAAGAGGTCTAATATTGCCCTCCGTTATACTATCAGTCCAAATATACCCCTGACGTCATACTATCGGTCCAAATATATCCCTCACATCATAAGAGTGGTACAAACCTACCCTTCCTCCGTTAACTGCCTCCCTATGACAACATATCATTGCCACCTCACCATTATACTCCCATTTTTATCCCTTCCTCACAACCTTTCTTTCCCGTTTATTTGAAGAAAAATCACAGATCATAGATATACAAACAAACTATATCAAAAGAAATGCTAACAACTAAAGATAATATGAAACAATGTGAACCGAGAAAATTCTGATTTTGCTATTCAAAATTCATGCTTATACGAACGAAAATATATTTTGTTTTATATAACAAAAAAATAAGCAAAGATACAGGCAAACTAGTTTAAGGTTTCAAAATTGACCATGGTGAGAAAGAAAAACAACCTAAACACGAGAGTTAATTTTTTTTGTTTCTTTCTCTTCAACCACATTTCTGGAAAGCTACCATTTTTCTCTCTTTACGTTCTATGTTAAAATAGAAGTGCTACTAAATTTTTCCTAATTATGTCATAAAAATTCAGCGGCAACACAAGGAAATGCAAAATAAAACACAAAATTGTAAGGTCAAGTGAAAGGTACGTACAATTCCAGGATCGGCCGGAGAAGCAATAGGTATTTTGAAAAGAAAGAGGAAGTAGAGGCAGTGAAGTCTTTAAAATAATGATAGAACTTCAAAGTAATTGAACTTGGTAGCTGCAAACAGGGTGAAATGGTGAGGTAGCAATAAAATGTGTTCATAGGGGAGGCGTTAACGGAGGAAGGGTAGGTTTGTACCACTTTCATGATGTCAGGGATATATTTGGACCGATAGTATGACGTTAGAGATATATTTGGACTGATAGTATAACGAAGGATAATATTAAACCTTTTTCAATAGTATAAGGACATATTTGACCCTTTTCCGAAAAATATAAAAAGGACACGTTTTTTCTCTCTCTAAAAAAGAAAATTGATTTAACATTAATATTTATAAATTGCATATTTAGGAAAAAACACCTGTTACGGTACAAAAAATAATGAACGATTTTTTTTTTCGTTTTTTTCCCTACTTCTTTATTAAAAATCTATAGTTGAATTCTATATTTTATTTAATTAAATTAAATTAAAAGATAAGAAACTCCCATGATCCCACGACGTTGAAAACCTAAGCGCACAAAAAGGATAACAACGAAAACTGCTGGAGAGATAAGTTTCTCTCTTTTCTTCTTGAGAGAAGTTTAAAACCCATCTAAATTCATCAAATGATGACCAGATTGAAGAACTATAGATTGTTCTACTATTTTTATTGATATGAATGGTAGGAGATTTGTACAAATAATGACCATATCGAAGAACCACCAACGCCGATGACAGATTGCGAAAGAAGACGATCCAATTCGTGGTTGTAGGCACGAAATCTGAAGTTTATCACATAGAAAACAGGTCCTTTGTTCTCTTTTTTCAGATTTACTTATCTTCTTTTTGATTTATTGGCGAATTTTAATATATCCAAATCAATTTTGTGGACGAAATTTGGTAAACGATTTTGACTTTTCGCCAAAAAAAATTGAGTTGAATGATAATACAAAGCTTTTTAATGATTGAGCGGTACAACAAAAAAAAAGATAGGATACGAATGAAGGAAAAGATAATCTTTTTCAATATATTATTTTTCATATTTGTTTTAGGTCCGCATCATTTGTGTCTGCTACAGAGTAGACCAATCGAATTCCTTCTGACAGTGGTGACAGTAGAACGTAATGCAAAAGAAAAGTAACTAAAAGTTAAGCCTTTTATCCTGTTACAATATTTTCCTCTTGGTCTTTAAAGATTATCTTTGCAAAATATGCTGGCATTTGTTTCGTTATTCTATTAAAATAAAAATTGAGTTGAATGATAATACAAAGCTTTTTAATGATTGAGCGGTGCAACAGAAAAAAAGATATGATACGAATGAAGGAAAAGATAATCTTTTTCAATATATTATTTTTCATATTTGTTTTAGGTCCGCATCATTTGTGTCTGCTACAGAGTTGACCAATCGAATTCCTTCTAACAGTGGTGGCAGTGGAACGTAATGCAAAAGACAAGTAACTAAAAGTTAAGCCTTTTCTCCTGTTACAACATTTTCCTCTTGGTCTTTAAAGATTATCTTTGCAAAATGTGCTGGCATTTATTTCGTTATTCTATTAAAATTTTGTCCAAAATATTTTTTTTTTTTGTCTCAAGGATATTTAAATGCACAAAGTTATACTTGAGGAAGATGCACATCTTAAAGATTTATCTTTGCATATTCTGGCATCTATTTTGTTATTTTATTAAAAAAATTCCAAAACGTGGGGCTTTTTTTTTAACTATATCTTTGCACCGTCTTAGGGACATTTAATTAGATGCACAAGTTGTATTTGAGGAAGATACACCTCGTGATGGAACTGCTTTACTTTTTATGTTTCGCAACCAGGTTAATATACAATATTATTAAATTCTTCTATTTTTCACTTGCTTTCGCATGTGTATTGTGAACATTATGGAAGATTATTTATTATATTTCTATATTCATATCATTTATCTTACATTTTAGACGTGCAAGATCAACTTTTTCACTTACAGTCTTCCTTTCTATAATTTTTTCAATCATCAGCTCTTTTTGGAGATTCTTTTTTTTTTCTTAGCATGTCTGTGTTGTTATTGGAAAACAGTTCTGGAAAAAGTTTGTGCAGAGGCAACAACAGATATTAGTCGTCATGCTGTCAATTGGAAGTTTATTCATTGCAGTTTTATTTTACAGATTCTTTACATGTTTTTCTTTCCATGAATATGGTTGCTATCACTGAATTCTGATCCTTAGCCATACATTTTCTTATGGTCTTGAATGGCTTGATAAGAAAAGTGAGGTAATGATGTTGTTGACAAACTTAAGTCTCAACTCTACGTCTTTCCTACTTATATACAAGTCCAGTTATTATGTATTGTGGACAACTTTTCGAGATACTACAAGTAACTTTGTGAGGATTAATAACTATTTTTATTTAGTTATCATGTGTAACTTTTTCCTTTCAAGACTCTTTTGTTTAAAACTGCTTTTGCTTTAATAAAGTTTGTCTGTCCCGTTTATATCGAGTTATTTTCTTTGTTCAGCGACAGAGACGCAGAAAACATAAAAATTAAAGTCGCCCTTCTCATTGTTGGCTTAGAGGCTGGTTTTGAAGTTTATTTGGACATAAGGTTGAGCAACAGAATCTTGAGGGAACAAATCCACAACAAATGGTTGTCGCCATGCCAAACAGTACAACATTAGAAGTGCAAAGCAAGGTTGATGTTGGAGGTTACATGGCATCGGCTCAGCCAACCGGTGCCGATGATATCCGGGCACTTTTAATTGGAGATCTGTAGTTTTGTATGGATGAATAATATCTCTATAGCTGCTTTGCAAATATTGGAGATGTACTAAAGTTTCTGAAATAAATTGTTGTTGCTGAGTGTTTTAATATGTAAAACTGTATCTTAGGGAGAAGAATAGATTATTAACTTGCTGTGAGAATACTGTTTTCATATGCTTTGGATTGATCTTCTATTGAGAGTAATGCAGGTTATCTGAGGTAAATGAATATTACGCATTGGTGTTTATATGCATCGACTAATTTTATATGATAAACTAAGTATCAGTAACGCCCTCTATATTATCTCGATTGACAAGTTTGAGAAATTTGCCAAAATAATTTATTCGTTAAAATCTTTTATTTTTCATAAATTTTCTAAATTACAGTCCTTCCTTTGTACTCAAAATTGCACAGGCCAGCTAGCATGACTATTCTCGCAAGATTTTCTTCACAATATGAAGAATGCATGGAGCTTTAGGTTAATTTAATTTTATATAAATGTAAATTTCATTGCTTGCAACATGCAAAGTAAAGTAGTTTATAATGCAGTATAGTATAATTAGGGTTGCCAGAAATTAATATTTTCCACACATCGCACGGGTAGGTATACTAGTAAAAAAGAAAATGAATACTTTCCTTTGCCATTCACGACAATGTACTATATAGCATTAACTATCTGCGCTGGGAGAATAGCACAAAACAAAGGATATCCCAGACATTCTACACAATAACTAACCTAATAAAACAAGCATCAGGGTATGAATCACATGATTTTAAGTCATGAATAAGGGCTGCTGAATACAGCACATTTGCTCAATGCTTGCAACAAAAAGGCTCTTGTTTTTCAAGAACAACAATCTATGGCATGAAATCTTACATTAAGAAGTGGCTCCCAACTATGGAAAATTCATTAAGCTAAATCTGATAGGAAACTGCAAGCAAACATCTCATCTTTAGATATTCCATTGTGACGGATGAATAGAGCAAAAAAGGCATGCTATTGTACCAGAACTGCACTTTCTATATATACAATACAATGCATAGAAGTTTGTACACTATTTATCACCATTAAGCACCAGCTCTACAGGAATTCAGGATTGCTTAACTTATTATGCAGCCATCAGCAGCAGCTGATGGAGAGTTTGTGCTATGCGTTCAACTGGGCCCAGTATTCTCGGTAGGGAACATAGATATGTGTGTATGTGAAACACCAAAAGAATTCACCAACTATTAGATTTTGAACCCATAATTTCAAAAGTATAATCAGTTCAGCGCTAAGAACTTCAATGGTTAAATCCAGCAAGCTCAAATCCTGGATCCGCCTCTCGCCAGTCGCCATCAACATCTACCAGCCTTCAACTTCGAGCATGGGAAGGTAATCTGCGAGGTACATCCTTTCCTTATGAAAGAGATACCATTAGATAGCCAACAAAGGATCTGTTCTAATAGAAATGAGGACCATACTCCTTAGCTCTTTCAAAGTAGTCCTCAATTGTGAAATGGAAATTACCACCAACTGCGGGATATTGTTGATGGGCAGCTTTTGTATTTTTCAAGTAGTTGCCTTTGGAAAGCTGGATCAGAAGTTCTTGATGTTGTGAATCACTTAAAAAGTGCTAGCAGAGAGATGCTACCTATGTAGATTCATACTCACTGGAAGAAAAAGAAAGAAATAGGATGTAGCTTTCATACTCACTCCCAAGGAGACAAGAGGGAACTATAACAACATATCTTAGATAGCCGACGGTATTTTCACCATTTTGTAGCTTTTAAGTTAAATCTCAATGTGTCATAACATCAATCCTGGGAATGACCTTGCTTAATAGAATCCTTCCCCACAATGTTCAGGAGCTCTGCCTTTGCTGCTTCCGTTATTGCTTTGAAGTCTGTTTGCATATACCTTCCCCTGAAACCAGTAAGCACAGGGAGCTTATTCAATATACTTAGTCTAAGGTTATGAACATGAAAAGTGAGAGGTTCAACAGGCTTTTTTTGTAGGGAACTCTTAGTCAAAAGTGAAAAAACCACCAAAACACTAATTCTTTTAAGGGCTAAAGGAGATTGATCATATCAGCAAGATGCTAGTCAGAAACCCTTCAGCACGACGTGACTTATTTGATATTCTAGGATGAAGATATTGAATAAAAACACTAGAGGTTAATTTAGTAGGAATTGTTGAAATGAAAATGGCTACACTTTTTCCTGTTTTATTTTTGTCGGTTGGAGGATTAAAAGGAGAATGATAAACTCTTGAGGGCCCTGATTCCTCATCAGATAAATTTCAAACTGCACATGGTTGACAAAATAATCATACTGACACCCTTGCTAGTCTGCAATCTTGCCATATTTCTTTGCACAACTATAGAAAGAAATACTCTGTGCATGTATATGCTATAAATGATAAATGATTAACTCTAATCATCTTTAGACGAAAAAGATCCGAGCATATTTTTCTCAATGGATCAGCTTTAGAGATGATGTACCAGAAGTGAGTTCTTGACCACGTAGCAGACGGGAATGCTGGGCTCGCAATGCCATGCAATATCCTTGCGATAGCTCTAGGAGTAAACTTGGCTTGTGAGTTGCACTGCAGAAATACCTGTTTCATGAAACAAGGAAAACATTAAGACTGCATTGTTTTCTTCCCTTGGGAAGAACTATTTGTGAAGAGAACTACCTTTATATCAGCTGTCAAAAATGGGCTGCAATTAAGAAATCGACTGTGTTAGCATATAAATTGACATCTTTGGGAGAAGAACTGATGCTGTATACTCCATAAAAAGACAAACTAAAGAAAGTGTAGAAATACGTAAATGAATAGAACAAGCTGCAGTCTGTAATAGAAACAAAATTATTCTGATCCCCAAAATTCGAGGATATAAAAGACATCACAAAATAAGACACCGTGTACTGGATGCTTGAAATCTGGTAGACAAGACATCTAACAACATGGGAAGTAGCAATTACATCTTCCTATGCATGGACAAAGCAATAGCCCAGAAACTGTGATAGGTTTCTCACCTGCTTCCACCAATCTTCTTTGGAACGTCAACTTCAGTACCACTTATAAAATACTCTGCAATCTTCCTTTGCAAGCAAGGTGTGTGTTGACGGCCAAGGCAACCATGCACCTTGTCACATGCTTCTGCTGCAAACACAGCAGCATCGTACATCGTGTCCATCTTCCTTACCTACGACAAAAGGCACAATCACAAGACTGGGAGACAACAAGAATACTATATCTGTATGTCATAAAAGCTTATATGCCTGATATTTTTGCATGAACAGCAGAAAGCTATACCAAAGCCCTTCAACTAGTAGGCAATGATACCCTGGTGTGCTCAGGATTGTCCTAACATATATGGATCACTTGGAGGTGACTTACATGTAGTCTAGGTAACAATTAACGCAAAGCCATGATAATTTACTTTAAGAGATAACCGGACAAAGGAAATAAAGGCTTAGGTGGTATCATTAAATTGAACGTGTTGTCTATTAATTTTAACTTAAACATAACATCTCTTCATCCCCTCCAAACACCAAAAAGAAAAAAAAATATTTAGACAAAAATGCACATCTGTTCCTTCAAATGAGTAGATTAAAAGTTCACGGGAAAATAACCTACCAATGGAACTAGGTAACTGTTAACCTACATTACTGTTGGCCAATGAGTTGGTAGCTTCATTTATAAATGAAAAGCTTGTGAATTTCAGTACAGCACATGTTGTATAGTCAAAAAAGTGAATCTAACTCTAGGTGATATGCGCTCAGGCTATTACCTAAGGATAGTAAATTTCTTATTTGTATCTTGCTCCAATATCAAGAACCCAACATTTGTTTTATTTTTACATAAAACAAATATATGCTGATATTAATTTATCAGCTTCCGCTTCAAAAGGAAGCAAAATTACTTCAATTTCTCTTGCCAAGCAGAACAACAAAACAAGAATAGAGGAAAATGGACAAAAGGCTAAGTAAGGACAATAAGCTATAGGTCAGTGGAAAGTCACCATCTATTCGATACTAAAATCAACTTTGAGACCATCTTGATACATTGAATCATAATTCTGGAAGAAGCATGACCAGTCAATTTTTAAAACAGATGAGTGTGGCACTGAGTTGGTACTGTTCTGGCGATCCTGCACAAGTTCAATGACACTCTTCCTATGATGAAAATTCTCTTCGTGTTTAAACAAGGGTGTCCTCCTTTCATCTTGAACCCAGCTCTGGGATAAAGGGTTAGGGAGGAAAACAGGACAATAGGAAGAATTGCATCTTTGGAGGAACATGAAGGAAAATCAAACTTCCGTTATTAATGAAGAGAGTCACCTTACAACTCTCAACCTCAGATAACCACTTTGTAAGCCATGTTGCTAAAGAACAGATATCCTTTGGGACTTCCATGATAACATAACAATAAGCCTGATCCTTCAGCTCATATGTAACTTCCCCCTTCAACTGAGACAGGAAAGAGAGAAAGTTACTCATGTCTAATAAAGAAAGCAGAAAGTGAATAATTAATGTTGAACTGAAATTGCTTAAGACCATCAAGTTTTGGTGTTAATGTCACCGTTTGAATAAAATGGCAGAGACATGAAGTGCACATACAAATAGATAACCATGCACAAACACAGATAGTAAAAGGTTTCATAATATTAATATCTATATTGTTCCTTTAATATTTCTACGTATCAGAAGGTAACCCTTAAGAAGTACTGCGCCAGACAAAAGAATCTTATGCTGAACATAAGTGTATATAGTGAAGTACAACATTCTGCTGGATTTACCCAAAACTATAAACTGGAATTTGGCTGGTGCATCATTGTTCATCCCGAGTCAAGTCAAAGAGCACTGCCACGATTACTGCTAATATTTCTTTCTTAATAAAAAAAATAAGAAGCATGGGCCAAATGCTTATATTATTCACAGTTCTAGAAAAAGAATGATTGGGTTTCCAAAAGCACTAAAGCAATCGAAGAAATCATTACCTAATCCACCCATACAATTTTGGGGAAATTCAGATCTTTATAGCCAGCTATGGCATCAACGCGCATACTATGTAATACCTTTCATGAACTCCCTTCACATCCTGGTGGAAGACCACCACAAATATGAAGATGACACTAAGGCTATCAGAAACCAAAGACTGAAGAATATAATGTTTTTCATTTTTCCTGTCAGTTTTCTTGGAGATGAATTCTGTTCAGGTAATGTTGTCATTAAATGTTATTCTGACAGTAAGGCTATCAGAAACCAAAGACCGAAGAATATAATGTTTTTCATTTTTCCTGTCAGTTTTCTTGGAGATGAATTCTGCTCAGGTAATGTTGTCATTAAATATTATATCCAAAAATCAAACTTGCTGAAGAGAATTGCATAACTCCTGCTATGCTCACTATCTTCATCATCATCCTCAGTTTAACTAGGATCAAAGATTTTGATGAATTACTATATGACATCTTTGTGTTTCTAAGATCTAAATCTTTACTGCTAAAAGTGTCAAAACATGACGTAGAATAACCAATATCAATCTGGAATAGCAAGAGGGGTCAGGAAATTCACACATAACTTACATCAGTATATCTAGTCTTTCACTAATATGCGCAAAAGACCCCATAAAAGAACTACTGTCCATATAATAGCCACAGATGGAACTTACCTTCAGTGTTTGCAAATGGTTTGACAAGTCATTGACTTGCAGTCTGGTGCTGTTTGCTACACTTGGTATGTCAAATATATACTGCCCATCTTTGATCACAGAGCTAAAATACATGAAGTGTATAACATTAGATATAACAGAAGTTTGTGAGAGCATATGTTTGTTTTCACAGGAAACAAAAATAAGGTACTCACTTCTTCAAGATAGCAGAAACCACAGCATCTTTCATAGCTAGCAATGCAGGGGAAGTCTGCAATAAGTTGTTAAGTTCATGATGTAATGTGAAAAATGGAAGCCGCCACAAAAACAGCAAAAGGAGGCAGACAACCACTTTTAGGTGTCTTTCTAGTTCTTTTAATCGCAAAATTCTAATCATGCAGGTCTAATCCTTACTAAGTAATGTTAAAAATCAAACCAAACGTTAGACCAACTGAAAGTAAAATTTGCCCTCGATCATATAAAAATCTGCCAACTGGCTGCTGTACTTAATCTTGCTAAATTAACTTTAACTAACCTGGTGAAAGTTTAACGTGCATGTTACACTCATCTGTGGGAGCAGGTGCAAGTATTGGACCTCGCCTAGCTCCAATTGTGTTAAGATCGTTAGTATAACCTATGAGAGAGAAAACCAGCTCTTCAGCATCTTACTAAGATAAAAGAATGTACAATATTCAGTTTCGGTCTTGCACTATCCCACATTTGTATAAAAAATGGAAGCTACTTTCACAGCAAAGGTATTCAACAACAGATCAGAAAGAAAATACCCAGGACATGCACACATCAGGTGGTGTGGAAGTTTATTATCTATCTCTAATTGAGTAATAAGGATTAATATATGTTCTGATAACTGTAGAAGACATGTTCGAGCTCTGTTTAAGCAATGACTTAAAATGCCAAATACTGCATGTACAGGTCAATTTCATAAAATAAAATAAAAGAAGCGGCAGGTATTATTATTCAGGATCTAAGATTTTCTTCTTTTCATGTCCAATGTTCCATAAGAATGTTTCAAGGATTAGTAATCTCATCAATATACTGCAAGTTATAAATTTAAACACAGCCAAAACATTCAGTCTGTGACTGTGATCAAGGATGTACGATGAAAGGGCCGGGCCTTTGGGTTGCAAATACAGTCTTGAAAAAGAGTTTTTAACCCAAATAAAAGATCAAATTGGTTTCTGGAAAATATAGAAAAAGTGATTGGGTAGTAATAGAAGCAATCAGAAAACTGATACTCAGCATGCCAATTTAAATGACAGAAAAAGTACCTCTTCTTTCATATCAAATTTACGACTAGCAGACTCTTTAATTAATGAACATATTTTCCCAGCAGGGTTCGTGCTGCCACTGAAAATTTGACACAGCAATTTGTTCACCACATACTCGTCGACACCATCACTGAGAATAAACAATATGCAAAGCTTTAGAATTCTTAGATTCAAATGAACTCTATGAATATTAAGAGTTTTTTCATTTCTTTATCACCTGTACATAAGACTGCGAGTCTTAAAATAGGAAACATCATCAAAAAAGAGATGGCAATATGAGATTCTACCATCACGTCCAGCACGACCAATCTCCTGCACAGGTAGCATCAATACTTTGGTTAAAAGAATTGCAAAAGTCAGTATCTGGGAAATTGCAACTGTCATAAGCATAAATATCGACCTGGACATACTCTTCCAAGCTTTCTGGTAAGCTGTAATGTATTACCTGAGACAGAAGCATTTACCAAGTCTTAATATGAATGTCGCATAGGAAGTCAGGCACAATTGCTGCACATTTAATGCAGCAGTACTTGGAATATTTGGTCAACATAAACATTTTGGAGATTGTTATATGTTGAAGTGCACCTTGTGGCCAGAAAAATGAGAGATGATGAGCTATCAAAAGGAAGTGTGGGCAACTAGTAATCTCACACAGCAAAAACAGATAGTTACTTCTTATAATTACAAGAGAAAATCCATGTTGAGTTGAACTGGGATCCCGAAACCAACCACATAGCAGAATAAGTATTTAGGAACAAAATGCTGAATATAGTGGTGTTCTTGATTTCTTCTTGGAAACCTCCCTAATTTGGAGGTTGATGCAGACAAAAGGGCAAATATATCATATAGGAAAACCAAGATCAGTTCTTACAGCGTCAATATCCTTCTTATTCAGTCCCATGCCGAATGCCACAGTTGCAACAACCTTCCAGAAAATATTGATGCAAGTTAAAAAAAACTTCATTTATATAAAAGGATAGTATTTAATATCTGTAAATTAAAATGAATAGAAAATATGAATTGCTTCTCTCACCACTCTTATCTTGTTTGCACAAAACAGTTCCTGCGTACGGCTCCTTTCCTTTGCGAAAATTCCACTGTGATAACTCTGAAAACAATTCAAATTGTAAGTCACTTAACCCATTAGGCATCAAATGATTTACATGAGGATGCAGGTAACAGTATATTGTTTACAAAGAATAAACCAAAAGGCAGATACAAAACCTTTGCCGAGATATTACTGTCACATAGATATTTGCAAATGAGATCAGTTTCGAACTGTGCACATTGAGGAGGAAAACAAAAAACCAGAAGTCAAGTTATGTGATACAGCTACAGTAAACAAATATAAAAAATGAGAGTATCACAGACAAATAGGAAGCAGCACCTGAAATTTGCAGTAAATGATGATGCTTTTAGCCTCTGAAAAGGGGGAAGACTTCAGCAAGGTCATCAGATCTTTCATCCTGAAATCAATTGAGTAAATTTGTAGCTTTCATTTTTTTTTTTTTTTTTTTTTTT